GCTTCCACAAAGCTGTCAGCCTCAGGTTGCTGGAGTTCGAACCTCACACCTCTCCCTCTGGCCAACAGTGCCCTGAAGGCATTCGAGGAAAAAAAAAAAAAAAAAAAAAAAAAAGAAGGGCAGCAAATTAGACATCAGTAAGGAAATACTCAGTGCAAAGCTGTTCCTTTCTTCCCTTCCTCTCTCCTCACAGGAGACTTAGAACACGGAGACATCAGCTACATGAGCAGACACTGAAGTAAACATGGGCAACGCTGGGAGAAATTCGGGAGCACGCTGGGCACACGACAGCTAGACTTGGCTTCACAGGGCCGCGGGGCACACACAGCCATGGCCCAGAGAAGGGAAGAGGCTGCTCTTGAGTTGCTCTCTCTCTGCAGCTCCCCCAGCAGCACAGACTGCACCCATGAGAGGGCATCGCTTGCTCAGTGGTCCAGGTCCTACCCACCCACTAAGTCCAGGCTGTGTTTGTGTGCCGCCTCCCGACAGGGCTGTGGTAGACGGAGCAACAATGCACCAAGGGGCTTGCAGCTCCACAGTTCCCTTGAGGAACAGCTTAGCAGCCTTTGTGACTCGTTCTAGTCACAGCACACATCACAAACACACAAATACGTCCTGCAAACTCCTGAAAGGATCACCCCATCAGACAGCATCTCCACTTTCTTCAGACCCATCTTCTGTGGGCCTTACGCCAAAGAGCCCACCATTCACTTGGAAGCTAAGTAATGATAATTCTGAGAATGGTGCACATTTTCAAATAAGTAATCACACCCTCAAGGGAATGACACATTTTCTCAAAAGAAGGCTGCTTGTCCATCTTTACAAAGAACCAAACACACAACCCCATCCCAAGGCTCTTTGAGATAAGAAATGACATCTCACCTTTCAACCAGAAATTAGGCCTGTACAGTAACAGAAAGACTTTTAGTAACAGAAAGACTGAGGAACTGAGGAGCAAGTGCCTGACCCGTGCCAGCGGCTGGATTGCAGCAGAGGGCATGTTCAAATAGTTGCTGTACAATGTAAGCCTTGCAAGATTATATGAGGAGCACGAGGAGGGTGGTGAATGACGAGGGCTAGGGAAAGTGTGTTTGAAGAAGATTAAGACAGAAACAAGTAGAACGACTACAGTGTGCCCTGCGCCTGCAAGCGACCTCCAGGATGCTGGCGGCACCTGTGCCTCCTTCCCATGAAAAAGCTGTGCTCATCTGATGCCTGGAACTCCACACACACCTTAGCAGTGGGTCAATGACCAAGCCAGAATTACCTTATTACCTTTCCTACAGCTTCTTTTCTGGACAGGTGCCAAGACTCTTTAGATCGTCTATCTGGAAGTATTTCAAATATAGAGAAAACAGAATGATATACCCAGTGACTCCTTGTGCACTGTCACTGACACAGGCGAGCTTGTTCCCTTCTCTTCGAAGTCCACCAGTGAGTGCCATTTGTGGCAGACAACCCCCCAAACATTAATGAGCAGCACATGCCTTCGACAATGGCTACTATTCAAAATGATCCATCCCAAACTGAAGAGAGAGTAAAAAAAATGATGCTGAAAAGGCTCCAGGGAAGATTGGGAGATGAGAAAACTGAAACAGTGAAAACCCTGGGCCAGAATACGTAACATATGTGCGTGCAGATGTGTGGACGTATGTGTCCATAGATGGTTTATATGGAAGTCAGTTTAGAGAGAATAAAAGGATAGTGCAAATGCATCTTCTTAATGTCTAGACTAATATCTACTTTCCTCATAGATCACTATGATTTGTCTATTTGTCTCAGTTTCATCTCCATTTCATAAAGCTTCTCCTTTATGCAGCGAGAAGCTTAACCAGACTAGCACGTTAGGAGCAGGGCCTTTGGGAAGTGATTTGGATATGACAATATCATCAGACTGAAGCCCCAGGACTGAATATTTATGGCTTTTTAGAAGACAGAGCATGATGTGCCTCTCCTTGTGGTGCCTGAACCACATCGTTCTCTGCCAGCCAGAAGGCCATAATTAGAGGTGGCCCCTTGACCTCAGACCAGAACTGTGAGCCCAAATAAACCTCTTTTCTTTACACATTACCTGCTATGTGGTGTTAGTTTATAGAAATGGAGTAATATATGGGGGGATTGCCCCATTTATGAGAAAAGAAGAGGACTGGGCACTGTGCTTCCAGGCACTTATCAAGCCCTAGAACACAAAATGCTACCAGCCTCCAACCTCTTCTTAACCCACCTGTCTCACCCTGAGACTCCCCAATGACCACCAAGCCAAGAGAAGTCTGCAGTGCATCCTAGGCCCAGCACCCTTCAGCCCTTCAACCTTCAACCTGTACCAGCCTTGCTGAGAGGATGTGTGTTACGAATTGAGTCCCAGCATGCCCTGGAGGTGACCCAGGAGGATCTAGTTTGAACCTGGTTTGGGCAATGAAGTGACTTAGCAAGACTCTGTCTCAAAATAAAAATAAAAATGGGCTGGGGATGTGGCTCAAAGAAAAGGCCATGGGTTCAATCCGCAATATTTCAAAATAAATGAATGATTCCCTGCCATCAATGGGATATTCCTTCTAAATTTCTAGGTTTATGCTGAAGAAAATGAAAACATTTAATTATCAAAAGTGGAGAGCTGCCATCATGGGTCCCTGTGTGTATGCACCTAATCTCATCTGGTCTACCTGAGACCCCTTGAGTGCCAGCCCTAGTCCCCCACGCTGCCCCATATTGGCTCGGACAAGATGAAAGAAACTATCATGAACCAAGAAAAACTTGCCAAACTGCAGGCACAAGTGCACATTGGTGGAAAAGGAACTGCTCGCAGAAAAAAGATGGCTCATAGAACAGCCACAGCAGATGATAAAAAAACTTCAGCTCTCATTAAAGAAGTTAGGGGTTAGCAATATCTCTGGTACTGAAGAGGTGAATATGTTTACAAACCAGGGAACAGTCATCCACTTCAACAACCCAAAAGTTCAGGCATCTCTAGCAGCAAATGCTTTCACCATTACCGGCCATGCTGAGACGAAGCAACTGACAGAAATGCTACTTGGCATCTTGAACCAGCTTGGTGCAGACAGTCTGACTAGCTCAAGGAGACTGGCTGAAGCTCCGCCCACACAATCTGTGGATGGAAAAACCTCGCTTGCTACTGGAGAGGAGGCTGGTGATGAGGTTCCAGATCTTGAGGAGAATTGTGATGAGGCTTCTAAGGATGAGGCAAACTGAACTAAGTCAGCTTCTGAAAAAGATCAAACTTAGAAGAAATTACTGGGAGCTGCTATTTTATACTATGACTTCTTTTAAAAATTGTTTTTGTTTATGGATCTGATAAAATCTAGATCTCTAATTTTTTTAAGCCCACGCCCCTTGGACACTGCAGCTCTTTTCAGTTTTTGCTTACATACAATTCACTCTTTGCAACCAATTAAGCTGGAGAAGCCTTAAAATAAAGTTTGAAACAGATTAATAAAAAAAGGGTAGAAAAGGTAGGTATGAAAACAATTCAGGAATAAGAAATCCTTTCTAGAAATCAGTCACTAGAGATTTCCTCATTCATTTTGAACTTCCTATGAGGGTCTAGTCATAGTTTCTTCATTTCTGTCTGTTTTGTCTTTCCCAAGTGATTCTTTCTCTTGAAAACCAATCTAAGGAAAACCACCTGCTTACCCCATTAGGAGCCATGACACTGCCACTGCAACAAACTAACACAGTGGTCCCAAAATCATTCTGGGTCCACGAGGCTCCCAGAGAGGTTAAAACAGATTTATTTAAAAAACAGGCCATCAAAGTTCTTTGTGGCTATTCAATGAACTTCCTATTTGCTTCTTAGATAAAGTTTCCATTTTTGAAGCTGTGCTTTAGAAAGGAAGAACGATAACATCTGGCTGCAGACAGAGCCAGAAAAGTAATATATAGGCGCTGCTGTTGAGTTGAAAGCGATGGTAATGATATTAGGCAATGTGGATTTATAGTCCATTCATAATGACACATTTGTTTTTGATTTAAGTTAATGAAGACCATTTTGTTCCTTTTCTGCTACCACATGTAACCTTTTAGAAATGGAGAGGAAAATAAGCAAACTTTGTTGGAGAGAATCCAGACATCAGCAGTTTAATGTCAATGCAAAAGGCAAACGCTGACTGCAGGCACGGCCCGTCACCGGGACAGCCTCTGCCAGCTATTGTACTTACTACAGTTGCTCAAACCGTCGTCTGGGTGACACAGGGAGCTACCACCGCACGAATCGGAGCAGGAGCTGTAGAGGCATCTTTGGTCTCCTTCTTGACACGGAGGCTGGGCTAGGGAGGGCAAAGCACAGCGGTCTTAGCCGTTTGCAGATTCCTTCCCCTCAGTCAGAGGGCTCGAGAAGACCTGAGCAGTCTGGGGACTGACACAACTTTAATTTTCCTCCACTTTCTCCAAGAGTATTAAACCCCTGTGCAATAGATAATTTCTAAATTCATTTTCTTGGCAACTAAAGGCAATGCAGTTATTGCAAAAGGTTTTGTAGAAGATATAAGAGGTAACACACTAAAAACAAAATAGAAAACAGGCAATTATTGCTTTTAATGGGAAAAAAATGTAGTGCCTTATTTTTACATGAGTGGCTATACTTGATTGTAAAATAAAATTCGAGTGAGTTGGGGGGATAGCAATATAAAGATCTTGAAGTTCTCAATATTAAATGGCATTACTTGAAAACCTCATTTGCTCCCAACTCTAGTTTTCCCTCAAAGAAAAATGCTGTCCTAGTAATAAACAAGGCATCAACACTACCTCAATAAAAAAATGTATCATGGTAAACTCTTGTGCAGCTGTCGTCCGTACTGTCAGCATGTCCCTGGGAAATGTCATCAGTCTAGTCTGATGGCCTGAGAACTGGGTTTCTTGTTTCCAAGTGAGCGACGGCAGTAACGTCAGCCTTTGCTCTAATAGCTTTTCCTTAAGGTTTGTAGAGAGGAAACAACTTTTCTGTTGATTTCCTGGTCATTTGTAGATTAAGTGGATGAAGTAATAAATTACTACCCATTCTCTTCCTACTTTCCCTCATTATGGTCAGTTTCAGACGTGTCATCCGGATTCTAGACAAGCTTACAAGACAAGGCTCTCGTCAATATAAATAGTTGTATTTATTCAAATGTAATCCTTCTTATATGTAATTCTAAGACATGTTTATATACTGGAATCCTTCCTCTTTGCTGCTCCACTATTATGCAATGCCACGCATTACCATCTTGCAGAAAACAAATGTCACTATTTTTGTAAGCTAGAGGGTTAAGCCTTTATCTCAAGGCAGGGCCAAGAAATCTGCATCCATTTAAGTTCCTAAGGAAGTGTTAAGATATTGCACATTCATTATTTCAGTAAGTACTAACTGCCTGCTGGGTAACCTTTGCTCTACTGAAGAGACATAAAGAGCAGCTGCAGCAGACAAGGGCAGTAGCTTGTCTCTCAGAGGAGTTCTCCAGACAGGTGGGGTAAGTTGCAATGAAAGAAAAGGAAGGGTTTTCCAAGCAAAAAGCAACACAGGAAAATACCCAGGATAAGAAAGTAGACAGGTTAAAGACATTGGAGTTTTATCCACTGAGAAAAGTGAGGGAGACCAGAAAGATAGAGCCAGAACCTGAAAAGTTTTAAAGGCCTACATGTTCAGTAGAATCCAAGCCCTTGGGACAAGAGGTTCCTGCTTCCTTCACCAGGCATCCAGCAGAACAAACTGGAAGCTCCTGATGTCAGCTCATGGGGACCACATCTCCCTCACCCTCAGTTCCCTTAGTCACTACGGTCTTCTGTAGTACGTAACATGCCTCATTCCTTTCTACAGCATTGCATGTATGTAATGCTTTTCTAAGTCCCTGTCTTCCTCACCTCTGACTTCCAGCATCTCTCTTGCTAAGGTTTTTTCTGAGGACCTTGGCCAAGGCATGCACCGCATCACACGTACCCTGGAGCATCCTTTGTGGTCTATTTCATTCCATCCTAGACGTCGACCTGCACAGTGTTTGTGGTGCGCCTAGTCTCGGTGGGAGCCTGAAAGCTCCACCAGGTGTGTGGCTTCCTGCTGAAACCCAATAAATGTGCTCCACATCAGCAGTACAATATACACTTTTTAATTTTTTTATTTTTATTTTTTTGCCATACCGGGGTTCAAACTTGGGACCTTGTGCTTGCCAGGCAGATGCTTATACCACTGAGCTATATCCCAGGCCCACAATATACATTTTAAACTGAAATCACAAGAATAAATAATTTAAAGAGGCCTGGAATAGTGGTCTTGTATATAATCTCAGTAGTCTGGGAAGCTGAAACAGCAGGCTTGCAAGTTCAAGCCCAGCCTGGGAAATATTAGTGTCTTAGGAAGACCTACCTCAAAGCTATAAACAAACAAACAAATAAATAAATAAATAAATAAATAAATAAATAAATAGTTGGGCATGTAGCACAATAGCTCAATGCAAAGGTCCTGGGTTTAATCACCACTATAAAATAATAATAATGGTTTAAAACTAATATTTTATTCTTTCTAGCCATTTTATAATGTGACTTTCTTGCATTTCACTCACGTAAGAAAATAATCTATAAATCCTGTCATTTCATCAAGAACAATCTAAAATTATTTGAGATTATATAGGATTGCATAGAAAGAATTGAGTTATATAAAAAGAAAGAGCCATCTAACATAAGGGGAAGTGCCTGGCTGATAGGCACACGCTAAGTCATGTCTAGGAAAGGGTTTCCTTTTCAATTTTAAAATCAGTAAAACAAAGCTCTCTTTACATATTTTCTCCATGTAATCTGATTTAAGAGCTCTCCCTTTAGATTTTGTATGCTTTTCCATTAAGCCACTATAATGATAAATTTTCATTATGATGAAACTAGCTTGTCTACAGGTGAGGCCAGTCTCATTAGCCAGCTAGTGATAAACTCAGGCCAATATTGAGCAAAGTTCACTACCTGCTTACCAGGTATCAATGCTACTGACTATTTATCATTAGTCTGAGTTTCCAGCCATTGAAAGGTGAGAGAATTTGTCTAAAACCGACCAGCAAGTAAGCAGTAAAGCAGGCTTGAAGCCAGGCCCACGGCACAGCAGTCATACCAGGTTGAGCCCAGAGCAGAGGAGCCTACGTGGTGATTTTAAGTTTGGGGTATTGCAACTGGCCCGACACTGAGAGACTTCTCAAAGTTAGAGTCAGAAATTCTCAGCAAGGAATCTTCTTTTTTGACACAGTCATATTTAAAAACCAACTTATTGGATTTAGTTTCTCATTTTCAGTTTCACACATGGATATCACATTGCTCTTAATTCAATCCAATCTCATTTAATTGGCTGCTACACTCTAGACCATTCTCGCGGCTTTCCCCAGAACAGTCACCTGACCCCGACCGCCCTGTGGTACCTCTACCTTTCATCCTCTGAGGGAGTTTGCAGCGCATGCCACTGGGACATTGCATTTGCCGTTAGGAAAAGCTTCCGGCGGCTCGGACCATGCGGACACTGTCAGGCCATGTGAAATTATGTGCGGGGGAATCTTCCTGAAGCCTCGCGTGACTTTCAGGTGCTTTGCCTTGTTCCCAGCTATAAAGCGCTGCTGGGGGCGGGGGGCACTCACGGTCGCTGCAGTTGCGCTCGTCGCTTCCGTCCTTGCAGTCCTCATCGCCGTCACACTGGAAGGCACTGGGGAAGCACTGTCCGTTCCCACACTCCACCAGCCCTTGGCTGTGGCAGGCTAGAAAGGCCAGAGGGAGACTCACTGGGCATTCATCCTTCTTTTCTCCCGCGGTTCCCTAAGCGCTTCCCACTGCCCAGGCATCACCGAGAAATGAAGCTTTCTCCATACACAAATGGATAGACACCACTGTTTCTCATAACTTCAAGCATTTTTTGGAAAAGAAGGTTTTCTTTCTAAAATATTTCCTCCCTTATTAAACACTGTGTAGTGAAAACTAACTTTTGCTCGAGAACTGTGTGCTCTATTTTCCAATGGTGGTGATGGTGCTGGTAGTCGTAGCCATGTTGCCCACAATAAAAAGTATAACTTGCAAAGAGATTACAGGGTAAGAACTACACAGCATGCACTGGATCCCAAATCCTCCTAAGAGCCTTGCAAACTCTACGTAATTATCCACTTTGTAGAAATATCAATAGATCCTGAGCCTAAACTGCTGAGTGAAATAAATCAGACACAGAAAGTTAACTATAGCATGTTTTTTCTATATGAAAGACCCAAAATACAAATAATTTAAAGAGAAACATAAAGGAGAAATGCCAGAAAATGAGAAGGCAGACTTTGTGGAGATGGGAGGGGGAAGGAGGAAGAAGAAGAAAAGTGATTGAGATGTAAAACGTGGGGCCGGTGAGACAGCTCAGTGGTCTAAAGCGCCTGCTTAGGCAGGCACAGGGCATGGCTTTCAGTCCCCAGCACCACATGCCATGCCAGACCCATCCTCATAATATGTATGTGTATCAATCTGCAAAATGAAGGAATTGAAAACATGCTAACAGAAATAATAATTTTTTAAAATTATGCTGACAGGCTTCTTCTTACAGAGGAAAATCTGACAAAATGTTGTGCCTGTCTACAATTCACATGGTTACTAGGCAAACTTTTCTGACTCCAAGCCCAAATATTTGTCCCATGATGATCTCACCTAATGAGACAAAGGAATAATATATATGTCACTGAACTGGCAGAGTACCGCACACAAAACGAAACCTTTCTTTCTGAACTTAAAAAAATAAAATATTTAATGTATTTGGTACAGGGTCTCACTTCGCAGCTCAGACTCATAGTGATCCTCCTGTTTTCAGCCTCCCCAACACTGGGATTATAGGCATGTGCCACCACACCTGGTCTCAGTGGCAAGCTCAGTGTACTCAGGGACAGGGCTGATGTGGCCTGTGGTGCCAGGGATCAAATTCCAGACCCTGTACTTGCCAGGCAAGCACTTAGTCTTCTAAGCCATCTTGCTGCCCCTATTTCTCAACTTTTTAATGACATTTAGTATTTTACAGGGATGACTGGCAGCCACCAGCCTTCTGATCCCTATTGCTTCTCTAATGTCCTTATTTTTTCAATGTTTATTTTTTATTGATACATACTTGCATTACATGACCATTCCTTTCTATTCCAGTTGGGCGGTTGGTCCCTGTGTATAACACATCTCAGCTCTTTTCCTTCCTTTCCCCTCCTCTCCCTCCTGCTTCCTCCATCTCTTGGCCCCTCCCATTTGCAAAAGGTTGATTGCCCTGCTTCCTGCTCTACTGTCTTTCAAGAGCTGCAGAGCCCCATGTGCCATTAAGTGTGCCCTTTCTTGAATCACAGTCTAATAGTAAAAGACCTGGTCTAGAATCAAAGCCCACCTACATGCATTTATATTGCATTAGGTATTAGAAGTAAGCTAGAGATTATTTAAGGTATACAGAGGACATGTGCAGGTTATATACAAATACTATACCACATATAATGTGAGTACTAGATTTTGGTTTCCACCTGAGATCCTGGAACCAAAGTCCCACAGATTCTGAGGGACAACCGTACGCCAACTCATTCTGCTTTTATTAAACAACAAAGGATCAAATGAAAAGTTTGACTAGTTGTATGTATGCATGCATGCAAGACATACTAACTCTTTCAGATTAATCACATTCTCTTTTAATATATGAATGTCACTGTTCAATAATGTTTATTATTGCTGACTTGGGACAGTACCCTTTCTAAAAGGGAAAAGTGGTGAACAGCCACATTTGTTCTTATGGTTTGGTAGTATAACAGTAACCCCAAATTTTCATTCACTCAGAAACATAGAAAACTACAAAATGATCCTTGTTGTCACATGCTCTGTTTTACTGTTTGAATGTGACAGGTTCTCTTCTCCCTGAAAATGCACTTCACATTCACACACAAGTGGCTCCTGAGCACACTTTTTGGAGCTCCCACATGGAAGATTAGCTGCTCGTATATCGTTTGCAGGAAAACTCTGGCCTTTAGAAAGAGGATTGCATCTGCCAAGATCATTGCTGCACAAGGAGATGCAGCAGTGGACACCTGCTGCACCAGATGCACTAAATTCCACTCGGAGTTTGGGAGAGAGGATGTGAAGTCTGGTGCTCTGCACAGTCACTTCACAGGCAAGAAACAAATAGAGTGCAAGGCGCCCTCCTTTTGAACACTGTTAGGTTGTGAGGCTTGCGTATGAGCTAAACAAGAACAAATGGAAAACCAAGCACCATGGGAATCCTCTGCAACTCACAGCAGTTGGCCTCGTCAGACTTGTCCACACAGTCATGGTCACCGTCACACACCCACGGGGCTGGGATGCAGCGTCCATCCCCGCAGCGATGCTCCCTTGTGGGATCACAGTCTGGAGAAAAGAAAACTCACAAGGATGGGAGAACTGGCATGAAAACACTCAGAACTGTACTGACTTATGCTTCCAGTTGAAGAGAAACCACTCTCATCATTTCAGAACCTTCAGCAACATTTCCATGTTGGCCCTGACACAACGAAGATAGCATCTCCCACAGAGCCTGAGCCCCACAGCCTGAATTGCTCAAGGGGAGGGGAAAGATGTGTCTGCTTTTTTTTTTAGATGATCCACAACTCTGCCCAGTTTTCCCATGGCCCTAAGTATGTTATTGTCACTGTTGATTGTCTTGTGAAAAATTTGTGATTTTTGCATCAATTCAAATTCACAGAACTGTGATTTGTGCTCTACAAAGCAGAGCTAATTGGATGTACTTGTGACAGACCTTTCATGTTACCAAACATAGTTAACTCCCCTTTCTGCCAGGTCAGGAAGGGGACAATCTCCTCACCTCACCTTCCTGATGCTAAACTGATGATTTCTACTGGACTATCTTAATACATAATTCATTATTTAAAGACTTGCTCAGTAAACAAAGCAAAATACTTTCATAATTCTAGATTAAGTCTCTGATCTCCATGTAGATATCTCTGGAGGAAAAAATATATCACTGAGTAGTAAGTTTTTTCTCACCAAGGGCAAAATCCAGAAGCTGTTCTGTCATGAGAGGTGATGTAAGGCACATGCAAACAGCCCTTTAAAGGCGTGCATGGACTTACCAACAGCAGAGTTAGTAATGGGGAGGTGTCGGGAATTTCCCACAAATTAACAGAGTCAGAGACCCCTGGGAGACCAACACCGTGGATCGCTAAGGCATTAGGGGACAATAAAACACAGAGCACAGAAGACAGCACAGAGAACAACACAAGTGGGGGAAACAAGAAAAGCCACTTCTACACAGCCACTAGGGATGGTGAACCAAGGCCAAGACCAGTCTCGGCCAAAACTGTCTCATTCAAAAGTCATTGTCACGGCTATGAAATAAAGGCAGTCTTGAAAACACAAACCTCATGATGTCCTTCTCTCTTCAGAGGCCTCCTGTTGAGTGGAAAGACTGTTCCTTTTCAGCAGTAACCACAACCTGACCCTCTCCTCTATCCTGGCCAGCTGCTGAGCTAACTTCACTCGTCCCACATGTCCCATTATTTCACTGGATTGAGCTAGATGGTCTCTGAGGCCAGATTCTCTATTATTGTCTCAGTTTCTCTTCCCTTGCTGCTGGGACGAATACTTGACACCCACAATTAAGGAAGAAAAGGTTTATTTAGCTCACAGTTACTGGAGGTTTCAGTCCACCCTCAGCTGGCTCCTAGGCAGAGTGGCACTTGAAACAGTTCAGCCCTTCATGGCAGCAGCAAAGAGCAAAAGACAAAGGCAAGGGCAGCAGCTCTGGCAGCTAGCTAGCCTCTCTCCCATGTCTGCATTGTAACACAGATTGCCTGCCCCAGGGCCAGGGTGTGGCACTCATGCCTGCAATCCCAGCCTTGGATCAAGAATCAATCACAACTGAGTTACAGATGAATGTCCATTCTGCATCTGTGTATTCAAAGTAGTTAGGATAGATATATAGTTACATTCTCTTAATGAATAGAGGGATTTGTTCTAATGGTGTTTGTAAATAGGATATCATGTCTGCCTCTTGTACAGCAATTAACCACTAGGAAGAATGTATGCAATGTGTGAATTATTGAAACCGTTCTACCAATTTGATTCAAAACTGTCTTATTGCTATTTGTTTATCAATAAAATTATGGGAAAAAATTAAATTAAATTAAAAAAAAGAATCAATCACAAACTCCAGAAGCCTCTCCATGACTGCACAAGGCTTTGGGGGAGCAACTAAACACAAGCCGTAACAATAATTATAATTCTCTTTCTTCCTTTATCTCAAGTCCAATAAATCCAAGAAAATAATCTACATCTACTTACTCATCAGATGGCTTGCACACCTGGACCCGTGGAGGCAAACCGATAGCATGTGTGTCACAAAGGGTGCATAAAGCCCTCTCTGCCAGTGCATAAGCCAAGTCACCCCAGTACTGCCGCAAGCTCTGAGTATTCAGATGGAATTGCAATTGTAGCACTTTGCAATAAATACATAGGCTTTTGATTACAGTTTGTGTACTGGGTCTTTAAAAGATTTGCTCTACTGCCGAACCCCATCTCACACTGCATATCCCCATCCCAGCTGCCCCTGGGGTTCATATGGCAAAGCTCCTATTGTCAATCAATTACAGTATCTATACATTCTAAAAGTAGTCACAAAGCCAAAAGATCAATACACTAAATAATTCTGCTGGTTAATTTCCTAAGGTGATATTCAGAAATTGGCACCACTCTTTAAAAGGCAGGTTTATTCTTTAAAGCTACAATCAGTATTTTCTACATGAAGCAGTTGTATTCCCCAACCTTGGCTATAGCTACAGCAAGAGGAGTCCTGTAGTACTTAGAAATCACATATAGGAAAGGCTATGGCTTCAATGCATCTCTGTCTCAAAGCTTTGCTCAAAAGCCCAAATTCAAATATAATCCATGGGTTATAAGCAGAGAAGAAACAGAACATCTATACAGAAACAAATACATTAGAATATTAACAAGGTTTGCACATCTTCCCTAGTATTTCCTTATATGACTTCATTTGTGAAGTATTTCCATTTAAGACACGACTGGGTGACTGAACATATTTTCTCCTTCTAGAAAAATAAGAAACCAATCAATTCTATAACTTAATATGTACATCGTATTAACAGATAATGAACTCTAATGTACAGGTTATAAATTTCTGCAACTTTTGATTAAAATATTTAGGGAGACAGTGCCACTTACCACAGTTGTGCTCATCACTGAGATCCCCACAGTCATCGTATCCATCACATACCAAGCTGTAATTAAGGCACTTGCCCGTGTGACAGCGAAACAGATCCACAGTGCAGTCTGAAAATAGGAAAAGCTACCAATGTCCCATCAGAGAATTATAAATGTCATAGCAGTACTTCAACAAAAGTCAGCACGGGAGGAAGCCCCAGTGGTAACCTGGTCCATACCTATTGTTTTACAGGTAAGGAGCCTGGCACAGAGATCCAATGACTTGGTCACTTAATAAATTATTGCAAGACCAGCACTAAAGCCCTTTGGTTCCCAAGTCATACCCTTCTGTCATTTCTTGAAAGTGTTTGTCTTATTTTTGTTTTATGTGGCCTGAAAGCTCCTGGATAGATGAGAAGATCATTCTCATTTCACCCCAGTCCTAAATGAGCCTTCTGTTCATGCACAATGAAAGACCTTATGGAGAAGTTAGCAATTCTTTTCTAAAAGTGTTCCATATAGAGTTAAAGTCAATGATAAACATAAATGAGGAAATGGAGAAAATAAGCTAGCTAGAGGATAAAGATGTCATTTCTTTTCATAGGTATATTACTGCTATATCAATTGATTGTCTCATAACATGATCCTCAAATAAGGAAGTACTGTCCTAAAGTTATGGTGGTGAGTGGAAAACAAATGCTGTGTAATCGCAGGAAGTGTCTAATGTTGAAACCAAGTACGTACAGGAAAATTCTTTTTCAATATTGATAAGAAGATATATCTTATACCTGAGCAGAACAGACCTCCTATCCTGGTTCTGACATTTACTAGCTATGGATTTGTAGTGTGGTGGTTTGACTCTAGTAGTCTGTGAACTAATTTATGAAATTGGGATCACATAATCTTCTCAATATATTTGGGAGAAGCGTTTAATAAAATAATATATATAAAATGCCAAGACACTACAACAAGTACACACTTTCAACATATGATTTCAGGAGAACTAGCTATCAAATAAGCACTCAGTGAATTCTGGCTTTCACCTCAGACCATGTATAAAAAAGATCATAGATTTAAAGATAAGAATTAGTATCACAAAGCTTCAGAAGAAAATGAAAAAGAAAAATCTTTGTGACTTTGAATTAAACAAATAATTCTTTCAATATGATACCAAAAGCACAGCAACTCAAAGGACATCACTAAGAAAAATAAATAGGCCGAGTTCCGGGAGCCCCCAGACCCAGTCCTAGCCC